TAAAGGCATCCTGCCTTTGACTCTGTAGGAAATCATGCTAGGGGGTCGTAAATCCAGTATCCTCCAAGGGGAATGGGCCTTTGAAATTGAATTTTTTTCCATTTAGAAGAATAGACGAAGTGACATTTCCAGCCCCCTCCCTCACTCCAGCAGGTGGGGATGTAAGTGTCTGGCAGCGTGCCAGGAGCATCCTGGCTACTCAGTGCATGTGGCTGAGCATGTTGTCTCTGCCACTGCATGCTGACACTTTGTGCCATTCGATCTATTCCAGAAAACGGGGTCTTTCTTCCCTGGCCGTGTGCTGGCAGAAGGGTTCCCTCTGCTTTGTGCTGCTACTAAGGCCGGTGCACGCACTAGTTTGTTTGTTTGCTTGTTTGTTCCCCTGCCTTTTGCAACCCAGCCCCACCCCATGCATGACAGCCCGCTGGATCCCTGAACCTCCAAGGCAGGCTCTGCCTCTGGAGCATGCTCAGCGGTGTTTGCCAAGCCCGCTTACCCCAAACCCAAACACCCTTCCCTCCCGCTCTCTTCTCTCTGCTCCTGTTCATCGTCTGCCTCCCTGCCTTCCCTCCATCCACCCTTCTCCCTGCCCTCTTCCCAGCCTCCCTGCCTCCCCCACCTTCCCCTCTGCTCCCCCTTCTGTCCCCGAGCCCCTGCTGCTCTCTCGCTCTTGCTCGTCTGTCTTCCAAGATCCCCTTTTCATCCCTGGATTATCTCAGTGTCCCTCTCCCCTCGCTTCTCTGTTTTCCCCAGTTACCTCTCCTTTCTCCTCTCCTGTATGCCTTCTCCCCTCTCCTCCTGCACAGCTTCCTTTCCTTCTTCCTCTCCATCACCTTTTTGCACTTCCTTCCCTTCTCCTGTCCCCTAGTGTCTCCCCCCCCCCCCTCCGCTCTGTCTCCTAATCTCCCAGCTCGGGCTCCCCACCCTCTTTCCCTCTCTCTCTGTCTCTCACCCTCCCTATCTCTCTCCTCTCTCACTCCCTCCTGGGGAGTTCCAGAAACATACCCATATATGGCCTCCATGTCAAGGATCACAAATGACGACGTCACGTGAGGGCCAGTGCTCTGAGATGCTCTCTGCCGCGAGGTCCGTAATTGACGCACCGTGGATGGACGGAAGGCGGCAGGGCGGCCTCCTCCGGGCGATCTTCAAATAGGACATCTGAGAGGCACAACATCTTATAGTTTGGCTGGCCATCACTGGTCATGCGGTGGGCCCAAAATAAACTCCCTGCTTCAAAGGAAAGCGTTTCAGAACTGCCTGGCAGAGCGGCCAGGAGCTCAGGGCCAGGGCAGAAGGAAAACTCAGGGAGCATGTTCTGAATTAAGACACTCTCAAGAAAACCCTTTTTAGTACCCCTGAATTGTGTGCCCCTGTTTCAGAGCCTAACAGGTAATGCATGCTTTCGACTTTCTTACACAGACTTCGAGAAAGATTGTTTGGCTGGGACTTAACCACTGTGTTGCTTGTTGGTGACTTCTTATTGTCAAGACTCCTTGCCTGCGCCTCTCTCTCCTGTCTCTTGTGTAGAAAGCATGCCGGGGACTTTCACTTTGGACCTGGGGGACAGAGAATAGGCCATATGCATGCACTTATGCATTCTCCTGAGGACGCTCGCTCAGAATATCACACTGCTGTGCACTTCTAAACATGGAAATGGAATGGGGTTATCAGTGGTGCTATTGTGGGTGCCGTGGACCTAGGGCAGTATCTGTGGGGGACAGATGGCTTTCAGAAAGACTTTTAGGTCAGGTGGATAGATAGCTATGTTTATGCCTGTGGCCATCAATGTCCCGTGGCACTTAGGGAGTGCCTCTGTGGGCACAGTTTCGTGGGGTGATAGAAGCCAGGTGCCGGGAGCTGTACCTGCAACTGTTTGGGCTCGGGGGGTTGGGGGACGTCCATTCTGCAAACAGAGACTGTGACACAATGTAAAGAATGAGATGTTCCATGAGATTTAACAGAGCGCCATGGGATTGCGGAGATGCAAGAGTACCTCGTGTGTGTGTGTGCGTGTGTGTGTGTGTGCGTGTGTGTGTGTGTGTGTATGTGACCATGAGGTCATATCCAGGGACGAGATAGCTTTTAAAAAAGCTGGGTGGATGTCACCAGGCAGAGGGGCAGGGAGAGGGACCTCCAGGCGGAGAGGCAGCTCCGGCAAAGGCCGACACTTCAGGGTGGGTCGGGGGTGTCAGTGGGAAATGTAGAGTGGCTACAGCAAAGGGTCATGAAGGGGAGAAGTGGGGACAAAACCGGCGGGGAGGGGAGGGAAGCCGGAGGGAGATGCAGCTCCCACCAGGCCAGGCAAGAGGATGGAATATTTTCCGAATGTTTTTAAGCAAAGGGGGTGCAGGTGGGACCTGATTTCAGGTAGCTCCTCAGTAGCCAGGGGAATGGCCTGGAATGAGGGGGAAGAGAGACGGCGCCAAGTAGGGAGGCCAGGTAAGTGACGGAGACACGGGGCAGGCCAGAGGCCAAGCCGCCCGCACAGGAAGGACAGCAAGGCTCTCCTCAAGGAAGGAAAACTCAAGGGGCGTGAGGCAGGGGTGGGGACAGCTCTGGGGCCCAGGCAGAGGCAGCTGGGGCCAGCCTAGCAGCCACAGTCCCTGCCCTCTGCAGCGGAGGCCGGGGGCAAGGGGGGGGGGGGGGGACGGGAGGGGGGCAGAACACAGGGATGAGGCAGATGCTCCCGTCCCTTCCAAAACCGTTGGATGGGTCCCGACAGCTGGTGGCGGGCCTGTTTACAGCTCAGCCTCCTCCGGGAGCTGGCATCGGCCCCCACCTGGTGCTGTTCTCGTTTGCATCATCCATTCTTGCACAAACAGACCGGCTGTGTGTGCCCGGGATCCTCCGCCCCCCCGGTGACCTTACAATGAATAACACAGTGATTGATACCCGTGGGCGTTCACGGAGCACTGACTGTGAGCCAGGCGCTGGCCCAGGGCTTCAGGTGATTTCTCTTATTGACTCTTCTCAAGGGCATCCTGACTTAGAGGTGATGGTTACTCCCATTTGCTAGATGGGAAAACTGAGTTTCTGAGAGGTTCAGGGTCTTGCCTGGAGCCAGACAGCTAAGACGTGTCGGAGTCGGGGATCCCATCCCGGCCTGTTGGCCTCTGGTGTCCGCATTCAACGCCACGGCCTCCCTGGGGCCCAGCACAGCAGTAAACAGCCCCGTCCCTGGCACAGTCGGAGTGTAACAAAGTTCCCGTACATTGTGGACAGGCTAGATCCAAGAGTGTTTTCCCGAAGGAGGCACAGAAATATCTCTGGACCCGCCCAGTGTCCTCCCACTTCTGAGCCGCAGAGGGTCAGGCTGCCCAGAGGAGATGGTTGTCCCAGGACTGGTTTGTATCATTTTTATCCTTAGCACCATCTCTTGGACTAATGAATACCCAGGAATATCAAGGAAGCCTTAAGAGCTTTGCAGCGGAGGGAGAGGTTTCCGGGGGGGCAGGGGGTGACGTCAAAGTGAACTGAGTCCCAGTTTGCTCGATTTTTTAAAGAAAGGGACACAAAGCAGAGGGGTAGACAAAGAGTAAGGAAAGGCAGGCAAGCCGAGAGGAGGAGAAGATTGAAATAAAGGCAGGAGAGGAGGGAAAAAACAGAAGGGAAAAAGATTTTGGTGGGATCCCAATTTAAAGACGTCCAGCCAGCCCTGCAGCCGGGCCCAGGTGAGCGGAGCAGGGCTGGGAGGGCCCTCTTGTCCTCACGGCACCTTGCCACTGTGTGGCCTGGAGTTAGAGCTTCCAGAACCTCCTGCTCCCCGGGGGCCGTGCTCTCCCGGCGCCCAGGACAGGGCTGGGCAAGGCTGCGCTTGGGCTGCAGAGGCTCGGAGCGGCACCAGAAGCCCTGCCCCTCTCACCCCTACCCCAGGCTTCCCGCACGGGTGCAGAGCCCCGCATTCACTGAGCCTTGGGCGGAAACTGGGTTGGGGTCTGGAATCCGGCACCTAGACCTATAGGTGGCCGAGCGCCGCTGAAGGGCCTGGCTGCCGCAGGAGAAGCACAGGGAGTTGGGCCAGGAGGGGTGTGGAGGGCCGGGCTGGGCAGGAGGTGAGAGAAGAGCCTTCCATTTGGGAGGCTGAGGCAAAGGCTTGCTGCCGGGGTCCCGGGACCGCTGGGAGCGCCTCACGCAGATTCAGGGCAGCAAGGAGCACTCACCTCCCCCTCAGATGGAGCCTCGGTCTCCCCTGACCCATCCACTGGGCAGAGTCCCACCTGGGTGACCGTGGCCACTCCCGAACCCTCTCCCGGGGGGCCTCAGCTTCCCCTCCATACAATGGGGAGAGTGCCTGTGTTGGGGGGGTGGGTTGGCTTAAGCGTGCTGCCGGGAGCAGATCCCCGCTGTAACTTCCAGCAATCCTGGCCCAACCTTGGAAGCTGAACGCGGGCCTGAGGAAAGCCAGGAGCTTGAAACCAGCAGCAAGGGCTCTGGGATTAGCAGAGTTGGGCGGGCCTTCTTAGAATCCTTAGAGTCTGAACAAAAGGCCCGAACTCCCAGCAGCTGTGAGGCCTGTCAGCACGGCCCCACAGCAAATACCCACCCTGGGGCTTTGACCTGAGCCCCTCTGGGGGGTGGGGAGGGGGCAAGCAAGGTGGCCTGGATTCCATCCCGCATCTCCCCAAGGCTGCTCACCTCTTATCCAGAGCAGAAACTTCCAGAGTGAGTGACCCCTGGCCACTGCCCTAAATACTCATTGTCAGAGGGTCCAAAGAAAAGAAGGGCAGGCAGGCCCGTTCTCAACCCATGTGCCAGTTACAACTCAGTCTTCCCGTCCGCACAATGGGAAGAGTCCTACCCCACCCACACCAGGTACTGAGAGGGTCAAAGGGTGCAGTGCATGAAAAAGACCAAGAGCACCAGCTGTTTTTATGATTGGGATTTTATTTATTTTTAAATTTTATTTACTTATTTGAGAGAGAGAGCACGAGTGGGGGCGAGGCAGAGGCAGAGGGAGAAGCAGACTCCCCGCTGAGCAGGGAGCCCGATGCGGGGCTCCATCCCAGGACCCTGGGATCATGACCTGAGCCGAAGGCAGATGCTCAACCAAGCCACCCAGGCGCCCCATGATGGGGATTTTAAAGCAGTAAGACCCAGGAAGGGGAGAGAACATTTTAATTGTTCACAGCCACGAGCCCTCAAGCTGGAAGAGTTTCCATAGATTTTCTGGGACCCCTCTGCAGCCTGGGGGAACGACAGATCAGAGAGAGAAGATTTGACAGAAGGTATTGAGCACTGCAAGGAGTAGGGTCGAGGACCCTGGGGGCCAAGTCCCCACTTGCAGCTGGCTGTCAGGATCGCGTGGGGCCGAGGAGAGAGGGGAACTGTTTGAAGTTGGCAGATGGACGGAGCGCGTATTACATATATGCATATGTAAGGCAGATGTGCCTGTATCCCCAAATGCCCATATACACCAAGTCTTTCTGAATACACACCGTCTGTCTCCAGTGGGACTCCAGGCCTTTCCTCAAACCCACAGAACCACAGGCCTCTGCTGTTGTTTACACGGGGTGAAGATAAGGGTCAAGTCAGATGCGGCAGCCTCTAGTCTCTTTCTTGTCAGTTTTTCCCTGGTGTGCCTCGGTTTCTTCATCTGTAGAGTGGGACTAATAATACCACAGACTTATCTCGTGGCTCAAACTAACAACGCATGTGAGACCATAAATGAACCACAAGGGAAGGCAGTATGGTGTTCGGCAAATACCCGCTGTGATCTGTGGTGACAGACGGGTCTGACTACGGTGTGTCGTGTAAGAGCTAAACTGAAAAGTCCACGCTCCCCTCTCACCCCTGAGAGTCACATGTGACCCTAACCGGAATACTTACGTGGCACCTACCACATGGCCGGCCCTCGTAAATGAACTAAGTGCTCACTAAATACCCACAACGGTCACTTGTAGGCGGCCCCCTCATTCATAAACTTGAGCCCGGGACTGAGAGGAGAGTGGAGGGGTTGTAACTCCTTCCACAGCCCGGAGGACAGCAGGTGGTGTGAGCAGGAAGAGAGGAGGCGGCAGGAGGGGCCCTGGGGAGTGGACGATGTGGAATTAGTGGGCAGAATCCATCCTGCACCCCGGCTGCTTTGGGGAACGCCTGGAGACCTCCCTCCCTCCCCGGCGCTGACCCCATTACTGGCCCCTGCACCCACTCAGCAGGGCTCTGCAGGGGTCCCAGGGGGCCCCCCAAGACAGCCTGGGGTGGGAGTAACTGGCTCCCCGTCGCCCAGCCAGTAGGGGGCAGAGCCAGGGTCGAACCCAGGCAGTGGGACACGGGCGGCTGCCCCACCTGCCAGGCACAGTAATCTTCTCGATAATAGCTGTGCTATTCATTCATTCATTCAGCCAACATTTCATACATACCTACTGTGTGTCTGGCCTTGGGTTATGTCCTGGGGTCAAGACACGAATGTGACACACACAGTCCTGCAATTTAGAAGTTTCTAGATTCAGTGGGAGGATAGGTCCAGAGCAGGCCGTTAGAGCAATGGGACGCAGCTCCGGATGCCTCCGACATCAGATCAGGGGGCTTCCTGGTGGAGGAGATGCTTGAACTGCATCTGGAAGAATGACTAGCCAGGTGACAGGCAAGAGGGACGGGAAGGTGGATGAGCAGGGCTCCATCTACAAACAGCCTGAGGACGGGAAGGAGACTGTCCAGGCTCACACTCCTCTCCCAGGTCCCCAGCTGAAGGGGAGCCTGGTGTGCCGGAGGATGGCTGTCGGTCCCCCTCCTTGTCCCTTGCCTTCCTGGCCATGCCCCTACCATCAGTTTTCCAGTAAGACATTCCAGGAGCCACTCCTCCCACTGTAACCCCCCAAACAGCCCCAGAGACCCCACCCCACGCACAGGAGCCCAGACCCCACTGCCATTTCCCAGACAGACCCTGGCTGTCAGCCAGCCGGGACTTGTGGGGAGGGAAAGAACTGGTGGTGGGGGGTGGGGAAGAAGCCACTTTTCCAATGCTAATCCTCAGCACAGCCCTGAAAGGGCCATGTTTCTATGCCCATTTCACAGATGTAGAAACGGAGGCCCAGCTTAGAGGAGCATTGACTACGGATGGACTGGGTACTGCTCTGAGTGCTTTGCATGTGCTAACTCAAGGAACGGTCACAGTCACTGTTGTCCCATTTTACAGATGCCTCCTGGGGGGAGGGTTCCCCTGGAGGCAATGTTTGGGGCACTGCAAAGGGGGTAAGGGAGGAGCCCCTGGAGGCCCCAGGGGTTCCAAGCAGGCCTTGGACTGGGGCTGTCCAGAAGACGTTCTGAAATAGGAGGCACTTGCTCTGGGTCTTGAGGAGCGAGGAGGGATTCTGCGAGTTTAGAAAGGGAGGAGACGGGTCAGCACAGGACGAGCAAGAGCCCTGGGGTGGGAGCCGCAGGTGGGTTGGGGGAAAAGTGTGTCTTTGCCTTACCTGGAAGATCAGCTGTGCGGAGGTAGAGGCTGAAGGGAGAGTGAGAACTAGATTCGACGGGCCGGGAGGCCCGGGCCATGGGTGCAGGTAGAGGAAGGACTTGGTGAGGCCTGCGGTGTGGGACACGGGGGGGACGATGGGTGGGTGGGGCTGGAACACCACATGAAGGCCACCGCTGGGGTGGGCAGGAGGAAGTCCGGGCCTGAGCCCGCCAGAATGGGTGCAGAGAAGCAGACAGAGGGCAATGATTGATAACCAGGCAGACTGTGGCAGGGCACAGAATCTTCGGTCCCAGATGCCGTCGTGTTGCTAATCCACTGTCTTCACACCCACAGTCTCCTCTCGCTGTGCTTGGAAAGCCCAGATCTGCTTAATAATAACCTTGCCGCTGTTTTATAGAGCAAGACTTGCTGCTCTTAGGGCTGTTACCAGAGTTAGAAGAGTATCTATCAAGGGCTTAGCCTGGTGTCAGGTCGCGCCCCTTGCCCCACCCCCACACAACAGGAGTCCCATCTCTACTCCTGCTTTATGATTGATCCTTCTCCAAAGTGGTGGTTCCTGGGCACCTGAGGAGCTTTTCAAAGAGGGGTAATAGCTGGGCCACACTCCCAGAGATTCTGACTTAATTGGTCTGAGGCGGGGTCCAAGCACCAATACCCTTTAGAACCTATTTTATATACTTTTTAATTATTATTTTTCTTTTTAAAATTCTTCTTCTTCTTTTTATGTAGGCACCACACCCAATGTGGGGCTTGAACTCACAACCCGGAGATCAAGAGTCACTTGCTCTTCTGACAGAGTCAGCCAGGTGCCCCTACCTTTTAAGTAGATGTGTTATTGCAGGATAATGGGCTCACAGAGGAGTGTACAAATCATACTTGGACAGGTTCCTTACAAAGGAAGCCAACCAATCATGGAACCACTTAGATCAGGAAATACAGCGTGACTGGCTTCCCAGAAGTCTCCCTCATGTCTCCTCCCAGTTAGTAACCACCAAAGGTCCACCATAGTTTAGTCTGCCTGAAACTTTACATAAATGGAATTATGTACATATATTCTTCATTATCTGACTTCTTTTGCTCACTACGGTTGTGTGCGCTTCATCCTGCGATGAGCAGTGGTACTGTATCTGTTTCACTGGTACACACTCTCGTGGTAGTATACCAAAACGCAGTAATCCATTCAAATGCTGATAGACATTTGGGTAGTTTCCACTTGGTTTTATTATGAGTAGTGCCGCAATGAATATTTTTGAACTTGTCTTATGGTGAACACATGTACATGGTTCTCTTGGCCAGGGAGCTAGGAGTGGAATTTTGGGGTCACAGGATGTGTTGGTTCAGCTTTAGCAAACACCATCAATTTTCCAAAGTGGTTTTACCACCTGACACTCCTACCAGTGGTGGTGAGCGTTCCCGATGCCCCACATCCTCCCCAACACTTGTTAGTGCTCATCTTTTCCACTTGAGCCATTCTTTTTTTTTTTTTTTTAGAGAGAGAGAGTGTGTGCAAGTGGGGCAGGGGAGGGGCAGAGGGAGAGGGTGAGAGAGAATCTCAGGCAGGGGCCACGCCCAGCCAGGAGCCCAATGTGGGGCTCAATTTCATGATCCCGAGATCATGAGTTGAGCCAAAATCAAGAGTCAGACGCTTAACTGACTGAGCCACCCAGGTGCCCCCTCCACTTGAGCCATGCTGTTGGGTAGACAGTAGTACTGTATTAGGATCTTAATTTGAGTGTTCTCCCAAACGCTTAGAAAGTCAAGCATCCTTATGTTTGGTTATTGGCCACTTGGATATCCTCTTTGTGAAGTGCCTGGCCTAGCCTTTTGGGGGTCAGTTAACTAGAGCCACAAGAATGCTGGGTAGCAGAGCACCCCAAATAAGCACTGATTCTCATGATCTGAGGCTGCAGGTCACCGCAGAGGGGCTGACGTAGGCTTCAGGGTGCTGGGTCTGCTGGGTGGGGCTCCCCTGTGCAGGTTGGGCTCAGGCTGCCCCAGGTCGGTTCACTCTGGGGCCCAGCTAATGGGCGGTGCCTCCAGTGGGGAGCTCTTCTGGCGATGCAGAAGGGGCAAGCCCCACACCCAAGCCCCTGTTAAGGGGCTGCTTTATCGTGCCCCCAACATTCATTGGCCAGAGCAAGTCACATGGCCAAGCCCACTCTCAGTGGGAAAGGGAGGGGGGATACCCTGCCGCCAAGGAGAGGGGAGTGAATATTTGCCAAACAAACCAAATTATAGCACTGGTATTTTGGGTATTTTTTAAATGGCCTCATGTGGTTCTCATGTCCTGCTAGGGCTATGAACCATTGACCTACAGTCACACTGCATGTCAGCCAGTCAAAACAAAAAGCAGGCTTAGTTGAGGTTACTTCATTTCCTAAAATCAGTTGATTCAACCAAAGTTCATTTCTCCCTGAGGCACTTTTTTGTAAGGAAGGGAGTCCTTGGAATTCACATGGCAAGTTACTGTCATGATTGATTTTAACTAGATCATGCATACTGAAGCGGCAGGCCCATGTCTGATTTATCTCCAACATTCTCAGCCCTAGCACAGCACAGAGATGAGGCGAGATGCTAGCATAGGATGTTGTCGGATAACTGGAAGGAAGGAGTGTAAGCGCTGTTGTGTAAGCCCCCTGAAGTCAGGGATATTTGTCCCTTGGTATCATTGTTGTGTCCCCAGTGCTTAGAGGAGTGCAGGACACAAAGTGGGTGCTCACTAAGTAATCTCTCGGTTAATGAAGCATGCATGCATGTGTAGACAAGCTGTCTGGAATGGAAAAATGAATGGTGGATGAGTGGATGGTAGGTTGGGTAGATAGAGGTATGAATGGATGGATGGATGGATGGATGGGGGGGTGGATGGATAAATGGACAGGTAGGTGGGCAGATAGATCAGGAGATGGATAGTGGTTGGATGGATGGATGATCAGGTCATTGGGTAAATGGACAGATGTGGATGGGTAAATGGGTGGATAGTAGACAAGTGGACACATGGGAGAATGAATAAATGGAGAGGAGGGTGAATGATTGGCTGGATAGTGAGAGAGTTGGGTAGATTGGTGAGTAGATGAGTGGATGGATAGATGTGTAGATGAATGGGTGGCTGGGTGGTTCAAATGACAACATGAATGGATAAAAACTGATTGTGAGCTCGCCAGAGGAAAGCACAGCATTCCCTGTTGCTAAACATAACTCTTGCAAAACTGTTAGTGACCAGGATGGTTTTGGTCTCCTCACAGGGCTTTCTGATTTGCCACTTCCTCCTCCTCATGGAGTGTCTCTTCTCAGGGCCAAGGTGAGAGGCGAGAGAGGATGACCACGGAGATCAGCGCTCGGGGCAGACAGCGTGCCATTGGGCATGAGGAATACAGTCTGTATAGCAGCCTGAGTGAGGATGAGCTGGTCCAGATGGCCATCGAGCAGAGCCTGGCTGACAAGACTCGGGGCCCAACCACTGCTGAGGCCACTGCGTCCATGTGTGTCAACCGCCAACCCGCCCATTTCTACCCATGGACCAGGTGAGCGAGGAGAGGCCAACTGGGGCCCCTGTAAGGTGCAGCTCCCAAACACTGTTAACCCAAGACCAAAGTCTCCTGGTCTGTAAGGTACATTTTTACACCTTAATGACTTACATTTCTTATCTAAACCCTTCCGAGCTTTGGTGGTGCCAAGCACCGCGGTAGGTGCTCTACCCACTTGACCTCGTTTAACTCTCTTAAGGACCTTCCAGGAGGCTCTGTGCTATACTCCCATTTTATAGACGAGGAAACTGAAGCTCAGGGGTAGTAGCTAGTCAGCAGCTGCACAGCTGGTAGATGGTGTTGCAGGGACTGGAACGATCTGGTTGCCAAGGGCATGGCTTGGCTTTGTACACTGGCTTTATGTTTGAATGCTGTGGAGCTGATGTTCCGAGTCCAAGCAGAGCTCCCAATCCTATCTATGCAGCCTCCCTGGGAAAACATGTCTGAGAAGCAAGTGACATCTGCCTGGCAAAGCCACCCTAGCTCCTCGCTCTGGCTCCCCCGTCTCAGCGTGACCTCATCATCCCGGTGGCAGGACCACCTAGGGCAGCCCCGTGTTGTGCCCATAGAAATAGGACGCGAGCCACACCTGCAGTAACATATGCAATTTTGAATATCCTAATAGCCATGCTAAAAAGTAAAGGCAAACAGGTGAAATTAATTTAGGTCTCAAATATTATCATTTCCACATGTCATCAATATCAAGTCTTTGGAATCCCGTGTGTATTCTGCACTCTCAGAACATCTCAATTCAGACTAGACGCATCTCAACAGCTCACTAGCCACATGTGGCCAGTGGCTACCGTCCTGGACAGTGCAGATCCAGAGGGTACCTTCTTTGTAGGAGGTGGGAGCCCAGAGAGGTAATTAAGCATTGGATCTTAAAATGCTTTTAGAAAGGAAATAGATACCTTTAAAAACGCTTTTGTTCATCACTGAGTCCAAGTCAAGTATGTATTTGGGGGTGGGTGGCTGAGGGAAGGGAGTTGCTGGATGATTGTGTTCTGTGGCCTTGGGACCTGGGCCTCAAATCTCATCATCTCCAGCCACCAGCTGACTTGCTATGTGGCCTTGGGCAAGTCCCTTAAGCTCTCTCAGCAACACACAGACCATCTCTAATGTCCAGTCCCAGCTGACAGTGATGCAGGTGGGTGGCTGTGCATCCCAGCCCTGTCCCCTGATGGTACCCACCGGGAGTTCCCCAAGTGACTTTAGCCCTTGCTGAGGCTGGACCTCCTCTGCCAGGCAGACGGGGCAAAAGCCTGGGATGCCCCACACCGAGCAGCCCCTCCTAAAGGGGAAGGCAGGTAGCCTCCTTGGGCGGCTGGAGGAAGTAGGAAGGCTCCAGGTTACTGAGTTGCCCCTGAGGGGGTCCCATTCTGGAACCCAGCCTGAGAAACAGAAGCGAGGATGCAGAGCCAAGGACTCTTCATGGCCAGTGCTCTGGGAGGCCCTGGTTCCTCTTCTGGCTGCTTCAGCCTCAGTCAGACCACAAGTTCCTCTTTCTCAGGAGGGGATCAGATAGAGAGAAGAGCATCCCCCTCACCCTGGGGCATCTGCAGCCTTCTCCCCAGTGTGGGAGCCTCCCGGGGAATCCTGGGGACACTTACATTAGCACTGAGTTGAGCTCATGAGGTCCGGGTCCTGACCTCTTCCTTCCTCTGGTGGGTGAGGAAGCAGAGACCCAACATGGGACGCAAACTCTTACCAGCCTCCTGAGAAAAAAGCTCTCACAGAGAAGGAAAATGACTTACCCAGGGTCGTGCAGCCCTCACCTAAATTCCAGGCGCAAGTAATGTAGGGTACAGGGTTCAACGTGCATCTTCTCACTCTGGATGTGAGCTGAAACCTCCCCGATTCAGTTCTGCCCTTCCATCTCTGGAAGAAGATGGGTCCTGCTGGGGGAGCCGATCCCTCCTCCCCCAGATGCACACCGAGGGCTTCCCATATGCCCAGCACACAGCCACTCAGTTAATCCTTAAGCCACGCAGCGAGGCCATTTCTGTGCCCGTTTTATGCACGTGCACTCCACGGGGCCAGAAACAGAAGCAATGTCTGCCCCCAGCTCTGAAGTTCAGACACATAACCGGCTCTGCCCATACTGCAAAGGCCTCTTTCTGTTCCTCTTCCCTCTCCACGTGGAAGTGGGTTTGGGTCTCATTTCAGCCACCTCGTAGCCACAGAGATTCAGGGTCCCCAGCAACAAGAGACACCCCGGCTCGTGCTCACGTTCCCAGATGTGGCATTTCAGAAAGTACAGGACCCGATAGAGTTCTTTGTCCCTTTTACCCCCACATATCACAGTTTCCATCCAAAGGCCCCGGAGCAGGTTTAGGAACAGGACATCATACACATCCCGGGGGCTGTCTCGGATTTCATGTCACCTCCTCGGCAAATCCTGCCTGACCACCATCCCAGGTCAGGCAGGTCGCCCCCTTTCTTGCTTTCTTGGCGGGGCGGTTTCCTTCATCACCCCAACTTACAGTTTCTATGTCTTTGTTTTGGCGCCGAGGGCAGAGGCCTTACCCATCTTCCTTCCTGTGAAGGCTCCTGCCTACCAGACAGCGCCTGGCCCGCAGCAAACACCAAATAGCTCTCAGTGAGGGAATAATGCATGAATAAAGGAATGTGAATGAAGAGGCAGCAGAGAGGCAGAGGATAGAGGACTTGGAGGTTGGAGGCCTTCCTCTGTCACTTACTGCTGTGTGACCTCAGGCACGTTATTTAACCTTTCTGAGCCCTAACAGGCTTTTCCTTAAAATGGCAACAACAAAACCTTGCCTAGCCCAACCTGCAGGGTTCTTAGGCAAAGCAAGTAGAATGTGGGTGCCTCCCTCACACCCCACAGCTTCAATCGACCTCCCTCTACCTCCTCCCCGAGCACCCCGAGTGCCCACACCATGACTGCCTCTGTTTCGTGGACAAGCTTTCGTGTCACTCTAGGAAGGCATTATTTGGCCTCTTGAGAGTGTCCCCAGTTATACTATATGACTTCTCTGGGGACAGGAAGCAGATATTTCTCACTTTTTTATCCCTAGTGCCTGGCAAAGAGCCTGGATCACTGTAGGTGCCCAAGAAATGTTTTTAGGCAAATAAATGCATTTTGAAACCAATAAAATGCTCTACAAATATAATTTATTATTATCTTATGACCAAAATGGTGGCTGTAGACATAAAGGTCAACTGAGCCTTGGGGATCCTAGACATGAAAGCCAGATCAGCATCGCAGAGGAAATGTAATGTGCCCTTCTAAAGCCATTATTTCCAACTTGCTTCTCTCCCACCACAATGTAAGAGATGAAGTCAGAAACATGCGTAGGGATCATCTGCCAAGCCTTGGCGCACTAAGAGAGAGCTGCCTGAAAGGCAGACCCAATTTTCCATCCCAGAGAGAAGGAGGGTTCATGCAGTCAGGAAATAGGGAGCCCAAGGTTACACTGATGGACCAGCCAGAGTGGGCCCAGGAAGCTGGGTCTTCCCAGTCTTTAAACTTCTGAATTTTTTTAAGGTTACATTTCTAAGAAGACAAAGGAGGAAAGCATGAAGTAAGGACTTGTTTGGGTTGATGTGTGCACAGCTGCAAATAATTCAAGTTGAGCCGCCCACACCTACCATGTTCTTGTGATGAGCAAGTTGCCTTCCTGGCACCTGGATGTGAATCAGGCCTCACCCCTACCCTCCCCAAGTTTGCTGTCTAATGAGGGTCCCAGATGTACATAATGACCCAACAGGAAGGGCTCAGCAAAGAGGCTTGCCTCAGTTTCAGAGGGACACAGAGCAGGTCGATTCACTTAGTTGAGCAGGTGGGCTTTGCAGGGTGAACAGGATTTCGCTAAGCAGGTTAGAGGAAGCAAACCTCTGAGCCTCAGTTTCCTCTTCTGCAAAAGGGAGCCAATTATGTCTCCTTCACAGAGTGGACCAGAGGATGAAAGGAAATGCTTTGTGCCATGTACCTCTGTCACTAGGCTGGGCACATGGCAAGCACCCAACAAATCCCAGCTATGGACAGGGAGCAGAAGTTGCTGCAGTCTGGAATTCACATTCTCCTCTACATGGGACTCCTCTCTGGCTGGCCCAGAAAGAGTGGTTTGGCCAGCAGGTGGGAGGCCGATTCCAGAGACCCGCGGGAATGGGGGTGGAGGCGGCTGGACCACGTGCGGCTCTTCCTCTCTTCACCTGGGAGGGCCGGGTGCTCCTTCTCCGGGCATCTGAGGTCCTGCCACGGCGCTGCACAAAACCGAGTTTACCATTTGGGCTATTACCCCTTGGAAGGCTTTGTTTGTTTTGTTTCATTTGTTTAAATGTATCAAATGCCTGTTGTGTGCCAGGTGCTGTACTTGAGTCCTGTATTGTTGTAGGCTTAGCATGAGGACCGGAGGAGGGGACAAATAGAGGGTGGCAGGCGAGGGGCAGACTCTTGTATTCCTTAGCTGTCTCCCCCTTTAAGAGGCCTGCTTGCCTCCGGTGTTCAGCCAGGTCCGGCCCAATTCTATGCCCTTCCTGAGGCTGGCGGCTCACTGAGAAGTTAGGGGGCTTTGTCTTCATAGCCCCTCTCCCCACTGGCACCGAGCTTGACCCGTGTCTGGAGTAGGGGCCAGCTGAACTCCAGGACAGGGCTGTTGGGAGCTGGGTGACAGTGATGCTCTCTCAACAGCCCCCACCCCGGACCTGCCCGCCCACATGAAGGACCGGGGCCCTACCTGGGCCTCTTCTAGGGCATGACCCGCGCCCACATCCTGCCAGGTTCCTCTCACCTCTGATGACTCAGCCCCGGTGGTTTTCTCTGCTGGGAATGCCCCTGCTCAGGGCCGAGGTGGAGTGGGGCCTTGCAGCCTGGACGGGATTAGGACTCGCTCCCCCTCCAGCATGAGGCTCCGCACTCGGGGCTCTAGGCACCTGCCCTACCTGCCCCTAAAGCCAAATTAACACCCACTGCAGGGCTCCCAGGGGAGCTCTTGCTCTCTCCCCACCGCCTATCCTGCGGCCTATGGCTGTCTGTGTCCTTGTTTCCCACCCCATTGGCCTCTGGACATCTGAGATTTGCATCTCAGGCGCTAGCACAAGTCTTGGGACACCCCCGCTGCCCCCAGCAGGGACTGGGGAGTTCTTGTTGCACGGAACTCGGTCTGTCTGCTTCCTTCTCTGCAAAGCGGGAACAACACAGCCTCTGCCTGCCTCCAGCTGGTGGGGAAGCTGGAAGTGAGGCCGTGCCCCGCACGGTGGGGAGGGACGTGACCATCACCGCTGCTGTCACCCCCCCCACCCTTGCCGGCACCGTCTTGTTGTTGTTATTTGGTCATTAGAGACAGACCTGGTTTTAGGGTGGTGTGATGCGTTTTTATGGGAGCTTATCACCGTGCTAGAAACATCCTAACAACAGTAAGTGACAGGAGGCCACACACGGGCCATGACGCAGTGGCCGGGACCCCGGGATCCTGTGCGGCCTGAGACCCAGGGCTTCGTCAAGACCACGGGGTGAGGGACTGTGAGCCTGGGCCTGGCCCCAGGCTGCCTTCCACCACCTCCAGCACGCTCTCCGTTCCGGGGGGGGGGGGATGGAGAGGGGCCTTGGCGGGGCCAGGCTTTGCGCCCCCCCTTCCCAGGATGTGGTCTCTTAGATCTGCCTGACACACAGTTCCCACGTGAGCTCATTTCGACAAAGGCTTCACAACTACCACAGCGGTGAGGAAAACCCCGTTCTGGTCCCCGCTGCGCACCTTGCAAATGGGGAAACCAAGGCACAACATGGGGCAGGGGCTTGTTCTAAGTCGCAGGGCCTGTCAGAATGGAGGCCTTAAAGCGGGAGGGAGGATGAAGAGGCGGCAAGACCCCAGGCCTGTGGGGCAGGGGTGGCGTCAGGAGCTCTGCGGACGGACACGCAGGCCTCTGCTCGGCTCACTTCCCAGCTGCGGCTTCGTGTGGGCCCGGGGCCGTGACCCACCTCTCGGGGCCTCAGTTTCCCCATCTCTAAAGGGCGGGGATGTTGGCACCCACTCTAGAGGACTAATGAGTGAGCGCACGCAGGTGTCGTGCTCAGGCTAGTGATGCTCAGGAGGAGGTGGCTGGTCGCGAGGGGACGGAGAGGGGCACGGAGGAAGGCAAAGACAAGATGAAGGCGGAGGAGGGGGCCGGCCTGCAGTCCCCCCGCCCCCAGGTGGCTGAGGCCAAGGAGAGCGTGTTCTTTCCTTCTCTGCTCACTCACCCCTTCCCCCATGCCCTGGCCCTTGCCGAGGGTATCCACAAAATCTCTAAGTTCTGCTCCGTCTTGGAAGAGCATGGGGTCCTTGTCAGGGTCACAGTTCTGGCACCTCCAAACACCACCGGTAGCAGTGTCCTCCTCAATCCCATGGGGCACCCCTGCAGGGTGCAGGACACCAGGCCAGGCCTGCTGCGGTGTCCGTGGCACCAGGGCCTGAGCTGCCACGAGTGTGGTCGGCACGGGCCACATGCCCCATCCTCACAGTCACCCCCATCAGTCAGATATGTGGAGTGGCCACCACACCTCCCTTCACCCCTCCCATCCTCACCAGAGCCCAAGGGGCTGGGAAACTGAGGCTCAGAGAAGCAAAATAATGAGACAATTAACGGTGGACGTGTGCCGAGCAGCCCCGTGCCCGGACGCCAGCTGAGCTCACCGGCTCCAGCCTCCTCGGTCTTCCCACACCGGGCTCTACAGGGAAGGAACTAAAGCCTAGAAAATTCAACCTGTCTGATGTAACCACGGCCAGGATATGCCAGAGCCTAGATTTGAACCCGTGTCCGTCTGACTCCTGCCCTGGCCGTGACAGCCGTTTGCTCTAACTTCCCTACCGTTAGCTCCTGCCCCTGGGACGGCAGGACCCTCCAACGGGGACCTGGCCAGGAGGAGGTGCGAGTACAGACCTGGTCTGGCTTCCCCAGTTATGCTCCCCTGTCCCCTGCACCTCCAAGAACCTCTTGCCCATCCCCGTTGGGACCCAGCCTGGCCGGCCCAAGACTGAGCCCCTTTCATCCTGGGACCTGCTGCTGACCCCTTCTCACATCCTCCCGGGTGAAGAATGTCACCTTGCTTCCTATCTGCCTCCCGCGTAGTTGGCTGGGGAGGGGGCCTAGGGGTGGGGATGAGGTTAACCTCATTGTTGTCTTATATGGTCATTTAAATCTCCCAGGGCTTCCTCCAAGGGCCAAAAATAATCCAGAGACACAGCAGCTGTGTCCAGCACACAAGAGAGGACCGGCCATCTGCTTTGGTTCAGAGCCCTGTGTCTGTCCGTCAGTCTCTCCCCTCGCCAGCCCTCCATCCCTGATCCTGCCTCCGACCATGACCCGCTTCTCATATGCAGAGTATTTTTCCCTCTTTCACGCCTGCCCTGCACCCTCCAGGTCGACTGTGCCTCCAGAGAACCCGCCCGCCTCGGCCCCTAAGGGCCTGTTCCAAGGGGTCATGCAGAAATACAAGAACTCCCAGCTGGCGTAAGTGACCCCCGGCCCGGGCCCCGAGACTGCCCAAGTTCACCCTTCCAACTAGGGTTAGTGGGGAGTGGGGAGTGGGAAGCAGGCCCGCAAGCCCCAAGAAGGGGGGCATTCTGGAGGGACCTCCCAGGCACGCCCCTCCCAGGTGTATCCCCCTGAGCCCCAGCCCCAGCTGCTCCTGCTGAGCTGGGCTTTGCGCTCACAGACTCATCTCCTCAAGGAACTGTCAGCCAGGCCTGTGCCTGTGATTTACACCTCCATGCCCCCAGAGTGGGCCCCGGGGGATGGCGCAGCCCCCTGGGAGAAGGCCCCAGGACCCCAGAGGCCCAGAGGAGCTCAGAGCTGAAGCTGATGAATCGGCCACGCATTCTATTTACCTCAGTTTCCCCCGTGCGTCCCCGTGGGGATATCGGAGCATATCCACAACGCTCACACCCATGGGTTTTGTTTTGCCTCATTGCCTTTATTTGCTCCGTGCCAGGTGGTAAAATCCAGAATTAATCCGAGCTGCAGGAGGGGTTCTGTTTGCTTGGCCCCAGGGTGCCGGGCTAGCTGCATCCCCCTTCTCTGCTCCCCTGTATTAACCCCAGAAGCAGCCAAAAGCAAAAGGGGGGCCCCATCGCAGGAACCCCTATTTCCTCGCTCCAGTTATGTTGCAGAGAGGGGAGGAGGCAATTAGCCAGTGTTCTGTGTCTCTTCCCAGCTCTTTCAAACCCTGCCACCCCCACTTCCTTGGTGCTGTGGGTGGAATTCTGAAAGTCTGGAAAAGGGGGACCCAGGCTCTGCTCTCAGCGCTGCTGCCCCTTCCTGTGTGGCTGCCTGGGAGTCGCTGTCCCTCTCTGAATCTCCCTTCTCTGTGAGACAAGGTTGGAGAGGACAGAGTGGCCTCTCGGGTCCCGTCCAGCTCCTTAGTCTCGGACGGTGTGACACCCCCAGCAGCTTCCCCCACCCTCGGGGCGGGGCCTGGGCTGAACTCACGGAGCTTCAGGGTCTGTTCACCAGAGCTGGACGAGACCCAAGGTGAGCGGCAGGTCCCGGGAGTGTTCTCACGCACTGGACACCCCCCCAGGCCACAAAAGCAGCCAGCCCTCCGCTCTTCCACTTCAGCCGGGGCCCCACAGGAGACCTTCCGGGGGAGACGGGATACATACCTACTGGGGCTTCTCCTGACACCAGCAGGGGCTGCTCTGGCCGCTTGTAAGAAGACCCCATCAAGGTGGTAGGGATGGTGTTGATGGGGACTTCAGGGCTTATCTGGTCAGTTACCCATCATGCTCGCGGGTCTGTAACTTAACCAGCATCTGTGCTCTGAAGCTATTAATAACCAGAGAGGCTGAGAGTCAGGAGGAAGTGCCGCTCACCACGGAGGAAGCAGCTGGGAGGGTAAAGGGGCTGGCCCGTAGACCCTCGGGGCCTATCCTGGCCCCTGACGTGGGTGAGGGCCCTGGGAACAAGACCTGCCTCCAGTCTCACCTCCATCTGGAAAATGGGACCACTTATGCAGAACATTCCCCAGGAGTAGATCTAGGAATCACAGAGGTCCTGGTCCTCACTGATTCCAGGATGGAGGGAAGGGAGCTCAGTGCACGCATGCATGAATGAATGAATGAACAAAGTAGCAAAGAAGTTTTCATTTGCATTAGCCCTGAAATCTTTTTGATATTCAGAAGTTTTAAATTGTGAAGGCCTCAAATTTATTAATCCTTCAAGTATATAAGTCTTTCAGCAGCTAAACGTTCTGGGGGTGAAGATAAAGGGTGAGGAGCAAAGGGGGGGGTTTGGAAGACCCCAGAGAGATGCTTGCTGGAAAGAGCGCCCCTCTGAGGGACTCTGGTCTCCGAGCTGCTTGAAGGGCAAACTGGTCGAGGTTCTTGGTAAACGCTGGAGCACTGTGCTGAAACCTGCCGCAGGGTTAGCTATCCATCCCTTTGGAGGTTGGCACTGCATGCCTGCGTCCTCGTCGTAGACATGGTCTTGGTGTAACCTTAGATGCAGCCCTGCAAGCCGCAGGGACAGAGGGGTTCCCTAATTCTCTTTTGGCCACCAAGGAGCTCTGTCTAAAAGAGACCCCCGGTTTCCATCTGTGGAAGTGAACGAGCTTGCCATGTTTCAGCCCGTTTCTTATAGACTTTCCCTGCAGGGTACCCACTTGGAGCTAAGGGCATGGAAGTGCCCCAGATCTAGGAATGCTCACGGGGGGACCAAACCCTGGCAAGGCTTGATCAGAGCCCCCACAGTGACTTTTATAGGCCAGTATGTCCTCCAAATGCTCAAAGGAGGCAAACGCAAAGAATGTTTTGAGCAAGATATTTTACTTCATTTTTTAAAAGATTTTATTTATTTATTTGAGAGAGAGAAAGAGATTATGAGCAGGGGGAGGGGTAGAGGGAGAAGCAGGCTCCCCCCGGAGCAGGGAGCCCAATGCGGGGCTCGATCCCAGGACCCTGAGATCATGACCTGAGCTGAAGGCAGGCACTTAAAGGACTGAGCCACCAGGTGCCCCTGAGCAAGATTTTTTTTTTTAATTTTTTAAAGATTTCATTTATTTATTTATTTGAGGCAGAGAGAATGAGAGAGAGAGAGAGCACATGAGAGGGGGTAGGGTCAGAGGGAGAAGCAGACTCTCTGCCGAGCAGGGAGCCCGATGCAGGACTCGATCCAGGGACTCCTGGATCATGACCTGAGCCGAAGGCAGTCGCTTAACCAACTGAGCCACCCAGGCGCCCCTGAGCAAGATATTTTAAAAATTCCCAAAGAAACAAGCAAAAAGCTCACAGGGGAGAGGCCATCATTTTGGGAATAGAAGGAAATAAAAGAAATGAAGGAGTGAAGTAATTGTTGGGGTTCCTAGGTTCTGAATTTTTCCGTCCCTCCCATTCCCCTTCCCTCCTTCCTTCCTCCCTCCCTCTCTCCCTTTTCCACTTTCTCTTTCTTTCCACAAATATTTATTGAGCACTTATTATGGACCAGACACTGAGCTGGGCCTTGAGCGTGGAATCATGAGAGAAGAAAGAAATAAAGACACTGTTCCTGTCTTCTTGGAATTCAGTCCAGTGGGGGACAGACAGTAGTCAAACAACCATTCAAAGACTTGTAAAGGCCAGCAGTCACATGAGGGCTTCTGACGAGAGCCAGGGAGAGGCCGACCTGGGCCCCCAGGCTGAGGTTGACAGGCCTGAGGAAGCTGTGATGGATAGATGATGGACGGATAAGCTGGAGGGGCCAAGGTCAGGGCCAAGGTCGGGGCCGAGTTCCAGGGCACACCCATATGGGTTAGGAAGGATTACCGTCCTTATTGAGGAGGCCGCTGGCTGCAGGGGGCCTGAGCACCTGTTCCAGACCAGCAGGGGCAAGAAGGACCGAGTGGTCCCACGGCTAGCACTGCCCCCAGCCACCAGTCGTCCTGCTTCTCTGGGAGACTGGCTGCCTGGCCCCACCTCTGCCCTGCTCTGGTCCTGAGGAGTGACCCGCCCCTTGCTGTCACAGGCCTGTGGACCCCGTGCTGAAGGCCATCAAGGAAGGGGACGAAGAGGCCTTGAAGGCTATGATCAAGGCGGGGAAGAATCTCGCAGAGCCCAACAAGGAGGGCTGGCTGCCACTGCACGAGGCGGCCTATTACGGCCAGCTGAGCTGCCTGAAGGCGCTGCAGCAAGGTGAGACGGCAGCTCTGGGAGCAGCCAGAAGCGGGAACCGGACCCAGGGCAGAGGCTCCTTCCTCCTGGAGCTTCGTGTTCTTTGCCCCACAAATCTTGGTGGGGGTGGTGGAGCACGGCAAGGTTATCACCCCCACGGCAGAGTTAAAATCACCAAGCTGGGAGAAGAAAGTGACTTGTCCCCACCCGCCCGGCTGCCACCTCTCTAGGCCTCTCGGGGACAGGAGAGCCTAATTCCTAGAAAAGGAATGAGGGAGGGCTGACTTTTTGGGAGAGCCACTGCCAGCTTGCTCCAGAATGTCCCAGGGACTGATGTGGTGTGGAAAATACCACAGCTGTGCCTATGCCCTGCCAAGGCCATCCCCCGCAGCTGTGGGAACCTGGGCAAACCCTCTCTGAGCCCCGGCTTCCCCCCAAGACAGATGTATATGGATAACACCTGCAGACAGGAGTGAGCTCTGCCCTGAGGCAGCATGAACCCCAGACAGCCCACCACCATGTGCTGGGGCAGAAACAGCTGTATGAGACAGAGCTTTTGGCTGTGGCTGGTGGGAATGTAAGGGAAGGACAGGGTCATTCAGAGAGAGAGGGGCTCAACCAAGGGAAGGCTTCCCGGAGGAGGCAGAATCTGAGCTGAGTTAATAAGACTGGGAAGCTGAAACAGCCCTGTGAAAGCAACTGAGTCCAGGGCCGAGAGGATGGGTGGTAAATTTAGGTGGATGCCACACATGTCTGTCGTTGGAATTGGGTGGAAATTGGGGTTACCTTTGTGTTGGGGAGGAGGGGGTATCTTCCCCCTTCATGAACTTCCCGTCTGTTCTTCCCAGCATACCCAGGAGTCATCGACCAGCGCACCTTGCAGGAGGAAACGGCCCTTTACCTGGCGACGTGCAGGGGACACCTGGACTGCCTCCGATCTCTGCTCCAGGCTGGGGCTGAGCCTGACATCTCCAACAAGTCCCGAGAGACACCGCTCTACAAAGGTGAGCCCCCCAGGGTGGGCTTCTCTGGGGAAGGCTCCAGAGAGTAGGTGGGCAATTGGGAGCATTGACCCCAGCCAGGGGTCTCCTTTGAAGGGGCAGCCTCGTGCAGGTGTATAACTTGTATAATTGAGTCGTTCATTCATGCACCTACTCGGGCCATACATCCCAAGTCCTCCCATGGGCCAGGCACCCTGAGGAGCGCTGAGGGCCTTAGAAACAAAAAGATATGATCTGTGCCCATGCACTCTCCCGGCCCAGTGAGCACTGACACACAGACAACATAACAACCAGCTAATAGCAGCAGAGAGCTCAGCATGATGCACGTGGGAGCATGGGGGAGGACTCTAATGCTGGGGGTGAGCCCCCACAAAAGGGGGTGCTTGAGCTGAGCTGGAACAGGAGGGAGTTAGCAGCTGAACAAGCAGAGGGAACAGCAGAGGCAGAGGCAAAGAGGTATGAAAGAAAATGTGTACCTCTGGGATGTTTTAAAAACCAGGAAACTCCTAGCTCATTCAATACATCATCCAAGGACATTGGCATCTCTAGCAAGTGCCCAGAGTCAAAATCTGAATGATCATAATAGCTGGCATTTACTGAGTGTTTACTATGTGCCAGGCACTGTTCTTTAACTTAACCCTAATATCCATCTATGTATGAGACAGGCACTACACGGGAGGTATCCCCATTTTACGGATGAGGACCCAAGGCATAGAGACATGGAACGAGGCACCCAGGATTCCACATATTCCAGCAAGGGGCAGACCTGGGCTTTAAACTCAGGGAGCTCTTTGTCAGCAACACACGCTGAACTATGACATTATGAAGCATTCAGATCATGCATACACGCTTAAGCAATCAGCCTTGGGACTTCCAAATATGATGGGACCTTTACACCTTGAAACACTACAGAAATCCCTGATTTACCCATGTGCCTGGTATCCAGTACCTGGGACATTCCAGGGGAAGCAGGAACTCCATATCTGGTAACTGGGTCCACTGCACACCCGAAGTGGAAGTTGTCTCTCAGAAGCCACATCTACCTGGACACCAGAGCCATCACCTGGAGATGCAGTTGTCCCGGAGAGAGCTTCCGAACACTGGGCAATTCTCAGCCACAGCTTAGGCCCTTGGGGCCGCGTGCAATCCTCCCAAGTGCCAAGCACCGTGCTAGAGCGTTCCACACACCGCCTCACCCGGTGCTCCCACAGGGTCCTCTCAGGAAGGTTTCGTGATCTCTGGTTTACAAGGCTTTGAGGGTAGGGAGCTTTGCCTGGGGTCCCTTCTCGCACTCACCCCTGACCGACTCAAAGAAGTGGTTAATTTGGACGAGAGCCCAGCCCCCCTGGTGATAACCCCGGCCCAGGGCCAACAGTGCATTTAGGTTCTAGAAAGCAATGAGGCTTAACAGGCAGGTTTGAGGAGCTTGAGAAGACTTGATGAGCTGTACTCAGAAGACATATGTTACTTCAATTTAAGTGAGTCGCCTTTGAGGAAGGGTTTCGAGCGGGAGTATGACAGCGCTCCTCCCCGTCTTCTGACCCTGTCAATGTGCAGGACTCCGGTAGGTAGCACTGAAGAGGGAAACGAGTGAGGGACACCCTGGAAGCCCCCAAGGGAAGAGACCCTGGACCTGACTGCCTGAGCTTGAATCCCTGTTCTGTCACTATCTGTGTGACCTTGGGCAAGTCGCTTAATTTCTCTGTGCCTCATCTTCTTATCTCCTTCCTCTGTGAAAAGGAATAACAACACGATATCCTTCGAGGGTGATTGGGAGAATTCTATTAGCTGGTTGTGTAAGGTGCTTGGAACAGAGTGCCTGGCCCATAATCAGTGCTATATACACCAGCAAATCTTATTGCTATTAGGATTGCTATTATTTTAGGTGTATTTCCTGGGTAAAACACAGGGACTGGACCTCAGTACAGACCCAGTGGGTATTTGTCAAATGAACGGCTGATGGGAATGCATGGGTGAATGGACAAATAAGTGAGTGAAGTCTCGGCCGGCCAGGTCCTGCCCGGGCCCTGCTGACCCTCTGGCTTCTCCCTGGGCACAGCCTGTGAGCACAAGAACGTGGAGGCGGTGCGGATCCTGGTGCAGCACCACGCGGACACCAACCACCGCTGTAACCGAGGCTGGACAGCACTGCATGAGTCTGTTTCTCGCAACGACCTGGAGGTCATGGAGATCCTGGTGAGCAGAGGCGCCAAGGTGGAATCCAAGAATGCCTACGGCATCACCCCCTTGTTCGTGGCGGCCCAGAGTGGGCAGCTGGAGGCCCTGAGGTTCCTGGCCAAGTACGGTGAGTGCTAAGGGCCCCTGGGTCACGCAGCACAGCTGGAAGGGGCACAGCTGGGTAGGACCTCAGAGGTCCAAGGGGAGGCAAGTTTGGGTGTCACCTTGTAAACACGCTCCGATCGAGTGGTAATACCTTCTCGGAGCACTGTGTTGATAAGGATTCAGAGGCTGTCTCTGGGCTCCGTGGGAGACGTGTAGTGATCCACCAGTGATGCCTGCAATTAGACACAAACCTGGGGTGGGGGTGGGGGGGTGGGGGTGGGGAATGGCCCACGTGCCACCTGTTTGTCATCTCTAATCTAGCCCAACATCCTCATTTTACAAATGAGGAATCTGAAGCCCAGAAAGGGGAAGTGACTCACTGACAGTCACGTAGCGAATTAGTGGTGGAACGAGCCAGGCTCTTGGTCTCCTGACACCTCAACCACTTCTCTCTCTACCATGTCATACTTCAAGGCCACAAGGAAACTCAGACAACATTTAGGTCACCTTCTCGTGTTACAGGTGACGAAACCAGGGACCGGGATGGGAAAGTGATTTGTCCCAGTTCACACCACAAAGTAGTGGAAGAGGTGGGATTTGAACCCGGGTCTTGGCACTCTTTGCCTGGGGAAAAATCTTAGTCACTTAACAGGAGAAAATAAAATACCATTGCCTGCATTATGAACAGAATACACCCCGAGACATTTTTTTTGACTAAAGAGCATCGTTATTCTTTTCTTCCCGGAGAACACCTTTGATTTCTTTTCTCTCTCTCCATGGGGGAGTGAGCCTCCCTCTCTAGCCACAGAGGGACCAGGAGTAAAGCCCGACAGACCCCCGGGCTGAGCTGAAGTGATTTGTTGAGGACTCGCTGTGTGCTAGACACTGCTGAACAGGAACACGGATCCAGTGGGGTTTTCCCACAGCCGTATGAGGTGGGCAGCGTCCTGCGCCCATTCAGCAGATGAGGAGACTGAGGCTCAGAGAGGTTAGATCGTTGGTCACAATCAGAGCCTGGATTCCGGCCACATGCCCCTGACGCCAAACGCCTCTTGCGCTCCGCCACGCCACCGCGGGCCTCGAAAATTACCAGCGTGGGACTCTGCTTGGATAAACACCCGCTTCCCCAGCACATGCCTAAGCAGTTGGGAAAACAAATCCAGGGCATGTCCTTGCAGCCGGGGACAACTCTGGACTGACCAGCTTGAGAACAAAGGGGCCCAGGCAGTGTCCTGGGAGCCCAGGCCAGGAGGCTGGGCAGAGGGCAGGGTGCTCAGCTGGCAAGGGGAACAAGCCAACTCCAAACATCTGTCCAGCTCTCCTGCCGACGGTCTGAGTCAGGGTCTGCTCCCTTTGTGGGCTGAGTCCACTTTCAAGTCCAAATATTTTTCTGGTGAGAGCGGGCGGCTTTGCTGGCGGGGTCCAGGCTTCCAGGGAGCCTGACTTCCAGAGCCTGGACCTATTGGCCAACTTTCCCGCAGAGTGGAGAGTGAAGCCAGCCTCTGTGCCCAGGTCCCTCCATCCTGGAGGACTGGCCTTTGAGGAGCACCTTGTCTGTGCCAGGCACTGTGCTGGGAGATTGTCTTAGTCCGTCCAGGCTGCTATAAGAGAACACTGTGGACTGGGGGGCTTCCAGCACACAGATAGTTATTTCTCACAGTTCCAGAGGCTGGGAAGTCTAAGATCAAGGTGCCGGCAGATCTGTTGTCTGGTGAGAGCCTGTCTCTAGATCATAGGCAGCCTGGGTCTCCTACTGGGTCTTCACATGGTGAAAGGGGCCAGGCAGCTCCTGGGGATCGCTTTGGGAAGGGCACTAATCCCATTCAGGAGCACAACTGCACCCTCACAACCTTCACACCGCCCAAAGGCCCCACCTCCTAACACCATCTCACGGGGGATTTGGTTTCAACATATGAATTTTGAGGGGACACAAACATCCAGCCCATAGCAGATATTTACATATTTTATCTTATTTATGCCTCAAAGTAACCCTGATTAGTAGGTACTATTATTCCCAGTCAACAGATGGGAAAACTGAGGCCCCGAAGGCTGCCTTTGCAAGCCACAAAACAGAAATTTCCGCTGGTGCTTGTTGCTCACAAAAGCCTGTGCTCTTTCCACTAGACCAGAAGTCAGTTATCACAATTGAAAATTACCAGAAAGCCCGAGATAAGCAGAATGCCCAGGCAGAGCGCAGCTGTGGTTAACAGATGCTTGTGATTTCAGCCCCTACTGACACTGCACTGCTGTCTCAGCTCCATCTCCTTCCAGAATAAGGAGAGACTGGTGAAGAGACTGTACCTCTTTTTGCAGAGAAACCCATGGGTCTCTCCCTCACCAGCAAGAGATGAAGAAGATGTAGGGGATGAGGCTGATGAAGCCTGTCGCTGGCTCGATTCTTCTCCTCCCAGCATGCTCTCGTGCCCTCTGCAGAGGGGATCAGAAGCAATCCCTCCCTTACTCCTTGCCATGGAAGGCAGAGAAGAACAAATCCCAATTATTAAAGTTCTTGGGGCCTTTCCTTATTAGGGGGCTCTGCACGCTCCTCGAGCCAGGGGGCTTCCTCAGGACAGGGCCTGGGTCGCTTTCACATGGAGCAAGGGTGAAGAGCATGGCCTCTGCCATCAGATCATCTGTCGGGGCTTCCACTGTCAGACCATCTGGGTTCAAGTTTGGGTCTGCACTTATGAGCCAGGTGGTCTGGGGCACGTGGTATAGGTGCTCTGTGCCTTGGTGTCCTTGTCTGCCACATGCCGGTGAGAGCTGTGACCGATGGCACAAGCTATGTTGTGGATTCAAAGAGAGGGCACCCGTCATGCAGGGTGCTTGGCACATAGTAAGTGCTCAGTAAACACCAGCATCATCGAGGCAGGCTGTTGCCTCTAAGAGGCCCCCTGGGTCTCACCGTTGCAGACAGGAGCTGCTGGTGAATGACCCCGTGTGTCACGGTGGCTGGCGCAGCGCATGACAGCGACCGCCCGCTCACTCCTCGATCTGTCTCTCCTTGGCCAGGTGCCGACATCAACACGCAGGCCAGTGACAACGCGTCCGCCCTCTACGAGGCTTGCAAGAATGAGCACGAGGATGTGGTAGAGTTTCTGCTCTCGCAAGGTGCCGACGCCAACAAGGCCAACAAGGATGGCATGCTCCCGCTGCACATCGCCTCCAAGAAGGGCAACTACAGGTCAGCCCGGGCCCTGCCACCCGTGCTCCGTGGCTCCCCGCTGCTGGAACGGGGCCTGCAAGTGTCCCGCCCGCGGGACTCGGGAGGCCCAGGAGGGGTCGGGGTGGAGGGCACCTTCCAGGTAGAGAGGAGGAGACTCTCCAGCAGTTGGCAAGCTAGAGCACGTTACATTATCAACTTACTTCACCCTCCTGACTACTGTTAACAAGCCTTTTACCAAATCTCTGGAGGTAGATCCTATTATCTACATTTCTTCAAATGAGGAAGCTAAGACACAGAGTGGTTGAGTGACTTGCCCAACGTCACACATCTCGTAGATGGCAAGAGCTCAGCGGCTACAAATGTCCCATCTACAGGCACTGCACTCGGGGGGCCAGATATGAGTCTGGCCTCGTGCCTATTTCTGTTGGGGATGCAAAGATAACCTCTCAGGCAATTAGGAAGCAGGCAGAGGATGCATAGAGTAATACGAATAGTACCAACGATACAATAACATAAAGAGGGCCAAGGCTCATAGCTAGCCTTTCCTGAGCACTTACTATGTGCTGGGCACTTTGAGCAAAACAGGAGAAGCTTAAGTTCTCAGGGAGCGATCTGGTGGGCAGGACACACACACACATGCACACACACACACACACACACACGCACACACACACATGATCGCATAACATAATGAAAGAGCATGAAGGCTGAGCTCCATGGCAGTCCTGGAGGAGAGACACTAGCAGGGGCTGGAAGCTTAGGTGTGCTAGAGTTGGCTTGTACCAGCTCGCGGGAGCCAACTATTCACAAGGGCGGCCTGAAATTGGCCACAGTGAGAGTATTTACACCACGGAAATTGGTGAATGCATTTCAGGGCTCCCTTTGCCCCCCCCCCCCGAGGAGCCAGCGGTTAAACATGCATCAGCACTACCGCTAGCTGGTGGGCTCAGGGAAGGCTCCCCCAGGAGGGCAGAATCCCGAACCCCAGCTGCTCTCGAAGGATGACAGGGCTCCGTGAAATCCACTCAACCCACGTTTTCCAAACTTTGACCATTCACAGCTCTCCTTCCTGATGGTAGGCATCTATAACTCTCACTGTGGAGTATATTTTCTTTTGAAGACATGTTTATTTAAAATGAACTTGTTTTCAAAAGGAAACATTCATCACACTATTTCGCTGAAATTGCCAATTTACAATTAATAAAGAAAACATTTCACATAAAATTCCATCAAGTGTACCCCAGATGACACACTTTGGGCAACACGGCCTGCCATCAGGCAGAGAGAAGAGAGAAGAACACAGACTGTGCACGCTGGGGGTGTTGGCTGTGTTTGCGAAGGCAGAGGGAAATGGGGATGAGAGTGACATCCCGGGGAGTGGAATGGAGACAAAGAGACAGACCCCCGAAGCCCCAGGCTCCGCACATATGGCCAACCAAAGATGCCCCCCACCCCCCACGGATATATGCACGGAGGAGACCCCTCCTTCCCTGAACCCCAGAGCAGGCTGCAAGGCACACGGACCTGGGTTTGCATTCCTGCTGAAGCCATTGGTCACGTTGCTTAACCCTTTTGAGCCTCAGTTTCCTTTTCTGTAAAATGGGGGACGGTTACACCTGCTTTATGGGGTTGTTGTTAGGACTAGTGAGGTGGATATACATGGCTACGGAATGGAAGTAAAGCACCCCACAGAATTCCAGGCACAGGTACCCCACAGGTCGGCGCTCACGCTCTCCTAGGTAGGAAGAGCACGTTCCATCATTTTTCAGTTCTGCCAGTAGAGGGAAGAAAGCACCAAGTCAGGCAGTGGTGACGGGCAAGATGGATGCTTTATCTTCGGCCCCAGAAAGACCCAGCATCAGTCAACAAACATGGTTTATCTCAGGCGTGACCCTGAGGGAGAGATCCAAAGAATGAAGGAGACAGCCCTTGGAAGTCTCCAGGCCCACTGGTTCCCCACTTGCCTGTGCACAGCACCATCTCTCTGGGCTATTTGCTAAATGACACATCCCAGAACCACTACACCAGAACCTCCAGGAGGGAGGGGGCCTAAGCCTCTACCTTTGAAAAGCTCCCCGAGCCAACCAACCAGATACAGCCCATCCACACCCTTAGGGGAATCACTGATCTAATACAAGCCCTGATTTTGCAGAGGAAGCGGCTTGCCACAGAGTGGCATCCTTCCATCACACCCGGATGTCTCAAATGGACCCCGATGTTGGCAGTCTGGCCCCAGCTGGAAGGGCAGTTGAAGGAGCACTGCGGGGGGGGGCTAAGGATGACCAGGGAGCGAGGCTGGTCCCCTCTGGAACCACCTGTGTGAACAGCTTGTGTTCCCCCAAATCTGCTTTGGATTCATGACTCTCAAAGTGATTTCCCTGGTCATTCCCCCTCCATTCCCAGGCCCCATTTCCCTCTGCTCCCCAAGACTGAGAGGGGCCAGGCCACTTTTGAGGGCTGCCCGACAAAGGATTGAAGCCGGGTTCCCAGCAGCTTCTGCCACCTGGCAGGGTCCACGGCCAGGCAAGCCCTGGGCCCTTCACTCCTCAGACATGTGGCATTAATGGCCCTCTCCACGCCAACCTCCCATAGGCTGCTTGGGAACTTGATGTGACATTCCATAGGCATTCCGCACTCAGCCACCTGCCAAAACACCCTGCCCGTCTATAGTGTGGAAAGTGGCACTCCGGGTTCACCAGATGGTGCCATCTCTACAGCGCCTTTAACCAGAGGTTGTGACATTCGGGTATGGCTGAGAAAGGAGACCACAGGACACCGAAGTCACCTCCAAGGCACGCTTTACCTTGGACTTCATTTCCAGTTTAGCAAGGCACCTTAGGAGATTAAAACTCAACACCACACATAGATTTATTGAGAAACGGTTTGTGTTGGACAAGACCAGATGCCCCACACATCCTTTAACCTGAATTTAGAGAAACACCAAGAAAGCCAAGTCTCAGCCTTGGCTACACGCTGGAAGCCCCCCAGGGCTCTAAAACCCCTGATGTCTGGGCCTCACTCATCCTCAGAGATTCTGGTGTAAGCAGTCTGGGCTGGGGCGGGGGCTTCAGGGTTTCTAAAACCTGCCCAGATGATTTCACCCACAGCCCGACAGAGAACCAGGATCTTAGAGTCTATTTTGTGGCTGGCATATAACAGAGGCTGGCCTTTTGGGACCCGCTTCTGATGCCCTTGTTTTTAACTATTCTTTCTCTTTTACTTCTTATTTATATTACCTTTGCAAGCCACTTAACACTTTTTGGGGGAGGCCTCCCTGAAACAGCCTTGAGCTGGGTCTGTTCTGGTCTCGGGGCTTGGGCTGGTGGGTGTGGCCCTTCACTGGGGAAGGGAGAGAGGGGAGCAGGGAACCCGGCCTCCCAGACACCAAAGGTTCGACCGGGCACCTTTGTTCTTCTTCATGAGGTACATGTTGAGCCCAGTGGGCCCAGGACCTGCCAGTGGAAGAAGTAGGGAGGCCCCAGCCCTTCTCGTGGGGTGCCCCCCTCCTCCAGCCCTGAGTCCCACAACATGGGCTGGGGGAAAGAAGTGATGATTTGTGGCAGGACGGCCAACATGGCCACTCCCTGGGGCCAGTGGGGTGGGGCAGCACGGAAAGGCCTTGCCCTGGGCCCTCTGGACACCTACATCCTGCCCTGGCTTTGTCATCCACCTCCAATCCGACCTCACTCTCTTCCCCACCCCATGCCCGGGCCTCAGTTTCACCCCCTGTAAAATGGGAGTCCTGCATGGGCTGCTCTGCAGACCCTGTCCTGCAGGGCACATTTACTTTCAGATTGGCAGAGTCTACAGAGGGGCACAAATGAGATAATTTTCCTGCGTTAGCAAGAGGATGCTTCTGGGACCATAGGCAGCGTCATCATGTTCCCATATTCCTGCCACTTTCCCCTGGTTGGGCAGGGGATCGCTGGAGGCCATCTGTGACCTGCCTGGGCTACCAGCCCCATCTGGCCAGCGGCCCCAGGACAGTCTCTGTCGCTGTTCTTTCCCGGGCTCAGGCCTGCCACGGCTGTTAGGGAGCATTTGTTGGCGATGGCTGTGGTCCAGGGTGAGGCCCCGGCCCTGCCTTTGACCAGCACCTCTACAGAGTGAGGTCAGGCCTCCTGTGCCGGCACAAATAGAAATTAGGAGGCAATTAGCCCCCCTGGGTGTGTGAATTTCCTTTTGAGGTTTTAGAGGCAGATTTTAGGCAAACAGAGCGTCACTAACAATAATAAGACTTTCCACTGAGATCCTAGCAGGAGGTCACTGGCATAAGATTTCCAGGAAGCCGCGAAGCCAGCATGCCAGAGAGGCGTGGGAACAGGCCTGGTGGCACCTGCTTGCCCCACCACAGCCACCTCCTTGGAGCCCACATGGGGGCGAGAGGTCACCTGTCAGCAAGGACTGGAAGGATTAGGGTCTGGAATCATGTCAGTGGTAGGAGCTTGTTCTTTCTTGTGGGAGGGGGCTAGGGGAAGAGAGCAAAGACAAGGGGTCAAGAGCCCCTGGAATTGAGCCCCTAGAATTGCTAAGTACCTTTGATGAGTTGCTGTCTCTCTCTGAGTCATGTCTGTTAAAAGGAAGGCCACAAAGCTGCTTTGGCTAACCCCACAGGGCTGCAGCGAAGGTAAAATGGGGCAGGCAAGTCAAAGCATCGTGATGCAAAACCCTGACTGCTACAAAGACGTAGGGCAGTGATTGAGAGTGTGGCCTGGGGAATCAGACTGCCGAGGTTCAGATCCTGGCCCCATCACTTACTGGCTGTGTGTCCTTGTGCAAGTCACATACCGTCTCTGGGCTTCATGTTTTCTCATCTGTAAACGAGGACAGTATAAGTCCTACCTCATAGGGTTACTGGGAGTTTATAATAGATCAATGTAGATTAAGTACCAAGAGCAGGGCCTGATGCAGCAAAAGCGAACAGAACCAGGGTTCCCAGGAATCTCCAGCCTCAGCAATGGCTGATCAACCCTCTCCAGGCCACAGGCAAGGCGGGGAGCCTGGGGGAGGCTCGAGTCAGCCTTCAGGGAAAGAGGCATTGAGACTCACAGGAGAGGGGAGGGGACTTCGTGGTCACCAAGGGCTGACTGGGGCCTAGAGCAGGAGTGGTTGGGACCAGATACATTCGTCCCCTCCTATCCCCCCCGGACTTGACAGCTCCACAGAGATGTAGGACGGCTCAGCCCTGGAGTAGGAGCAGGGTACATTCCCTGGTTTGCCTCTCCCAACATGTGGCCTGGACAAGTGCCTCCACCTCTCTGAGCCTTGATCTTTCTCATCTGCAAAATGGGAATGATGAGACATACTTGATGGGCTGTTGAAAAGATTAAACCAAAATGTGTTTGTAAATTCTTTAGAGGTCTCCTGGCACATAGTGAGTCCTCAGCTATGACTGTTGCTGCCCCCTGCCCACCCCTACCCCACCTAGGCAGGGCGGGTGCCAAACTTCTAGCTCCAAACATCACCATGGGCATTAGGTGCCTCCTGCATTAGGCTTGCGGGCCTTCCGGTCAATTCCCTCAGATCACTGAGCTGGGAATGGGGAACACTCCTTAGCCTGAAATGAGTCTTGAAACCACAGTTCCGACGGGCTGAGGTTTGCAAGAACTAGGACTTTGGAGGCCACGGGTTCTGAGTCTGAAGCCCCGCTCCACCCCTTACTGGCTATGTGACTTTGGAAAGGTGGTTGAAGCTCTCTGAGCCTCAGTTTTCCTGATCTGTAAAGTGGGGGAGAGCAGCGACCCATCCTCCCCAAGGCGGTCCTGGTGAGGATGGCTGGCTCCCCCGCGCCCCCTGCCGGTGGGCCCCTGCCTCCGCACACGGTAGTCCTGAGCGGCCGGGCCCGGGCCCTCAGCGCCCCCTGCCGGCGGGACCACCCCGTGACCCGCGCTTGCCCGCCCCGCCCGCAGGATCGTGCAGATGCTGCTGCCCGTGACCAGCCGCACGCGCGTGCGCCGTAGCGGCATCAGCCCGCTGCACCTGGCCGCCGAGCGCAACCACGACGGGGTGCTCGAGGCGCTGCTGGGCGCGCGCTTCGACGTGAACGCGCCGCTGGCGCCCGAGCGCGCGCGCCTCTACGAGGACCGCCGCAGCTCGGCCCTCTACTTCGCCGTGGTCAACAACAACGTGTACGCCACCGAGCTGCTGCTGCTCGCCGGCGCCGACCCCAACCGCGACCTCATCAGCCCCCTGCTCGTGGCCATCCGCCACGGCTGCCTGCGCACCATGCAGCTGCTGCTGGACCACGGCGCCGACATCGACGCCTACATCGCTACGCACCCCACCGCCTTCCCCGCCACCATCATGTTCGCCATGAAGTACCTGTCGCTGCTCAAGTTCCTCATGGACCTCGGCTGCGACGGCGAGCCCTGCTTCTCGTGCCTGTACGGCAACGGCCCGCACCCGCCCGCCCCGCCGCGCTCCAACCGGTTCAGCGACACGCCCGCCACCGACAAGGAGCCCGCCGTGGTCCAGGTAGGCGGGGGCGCGCCTGGCGGGCGGGGTGGTTCGCGCGCTCAGCGCGCGCTGGTATGGACGGATGGCTGATGCCCTCCCGCAGCCGAGTGGCACCGTAGGGGGCGCACTCTGGAGGCAGTGGAAGCCCGTGGCTTTAGAGGCAGCGGAACTGAGTGGTTCATGGGAACCGTTACATCCTTTTTTTTGGCTTCTCGGTCTTGGGGATTGCTGGGGAATGTGTAAAACTGAGGCGTCCATCACTCGCAGCAAACCTACACCTGGGATATGATGTTGCATGACCAGGATGGGGATGGACGTGAGGGCGGACTGGCCAAGGTCAGATGAGGGGCAGGGTGGCCCGGTGTTGACTTAACAAGTCAGAAGTATAATGGCTAATGGGAATCATTTATGGGTCACTTGCTGTGTGCCAAGAAGCTTACGTTCATATGTTACCTTAATTCTCATCAAAATAAAACAAAACAAAAAAAGCTCCAGGTGTCAGATTCCCATTTTCTAGACCAGGAAGTGGAGGCTTAGAGAGGTGATGGCCAAGCAGCCCACCTCCAGTTTTCGGTTGGATGTTGTTGATGAGGGGGCAGTGGGTCTGTGGAGGTGGATCCTGCCAGGAGTGCGCCCTGTGTCTGTCCTCGGATCCCTCTCCTGCCCTGCCCAGCTTCGGGTTCCCGGACAGACGTGTTCGCTGAGGCGCTGCCTTTGGTCCTGGGAGCCCCAGCCCCAATGCGTGATCTCTTCCAGTTCTGCGAGATCCTGTCTGCCCCAGAGGTGAGCCGCTGGGCAGGGCCCATCATCGACATCCTCCTGGACTACGTGGGCAACGTGCAGCTCTGCTCGCGGCTGAAGGAACACATCGACAGCTTCGAGGACTGGGCTGTCATCAAGGAGAAGGCAGGTAGGGGCTGTCACTACTGCTACTGGCAGGTCACCCTGTCTGGTTCAGGCCCAGGGCTCGGGGCATGTGACTGCTACTAACATCTGATGAGCACCTACTGAGTGCAGAGCTCTGTGCGCAGGTAACATATGGTGTCTCCATGACTCTGTTCTGTAAATGAGAAGACCCACCCTCCGAGAGATGATGTCGCCTGAGCCAAGGTCTCACGGCTAGTTAGTGGCAGAGTGGGGATTCAAACCTAGGTCTGACCAACCCCGGAGTCTCGCCACCAGATCTTTCTAGGATGCTTTAAACGGTTCCAGCTCACTGAGGGGTATTGGGACTTTTGGAGTACATTGCCCATGTTTGTGGGGCACTGAGAGGTAGTGTGGCGGGGTAGAGGAGAGATGGTGGTCTTAGGCATTTCAAATTGCAAAGTACATACAAAGCACCTGGGCATTTTGTTAAAAATGCAGATTCTGACTCGACAGGCCTGGGGCAGGGCCTGAGAGTCTGCATTTCAGCATGCTCCCAGGTGATGCCCATGCTGCGGGCCCCCAGCCCACACACGGGGAGCAGTACTGGGTCTGGGCGGCAGGCCTCTGGAGCCAGGGGCTTGCTGGGTGACCATCCATGGGCCTCAGCATCCCCAACTGAACCGAGAAGGTTGGGCAGGCTCCTTGTCTAGCCCCCTCCAGCTCTGCCAGCATGAGATGTTTGCAGGTGGGTGTGCTTGGCGGTGTGGATGGGGCAGCCTGGCTAAGTCAGGCCGAGGACCCGTCTTGGGCATGATGGAGCCCACCTGGGCAGGTAGTGCCAGAAGTAGTCAAACTGTGTGCTGCCGCTGGTACTGAGAAATAGGCGTCTGCCCAGAGGAGTCCCATTTACTCCAGGGCTTTCTCACACTCTCAGGGGCACAGACCCGTCTCTGGCCAAGTGTTTGTCAATCACAGAGCAGAGAGGCTGACCCGCAGCAAGTTTCTATTATGTCCCCAGATGAGATTGCGCTGCCCTGTTGCCTGTCCACTGACTGGCCAGGTGCCCCGGGCCCCAGTGCCCCAGCTCTGACTTGCCACCTTCTTCCTTGATCCCCGAGCCCTGTGGGACCCAGATCTACTGTAGGATTTTTCATTCGCACAAATGCCTGGGAAGCATTTGAATTCGACCCTTGATAAAGGTATCAGGGCAGCGATGGGGGAGGGTGGTGGTAACTTGCCCACTCCCCGGGGCTCAGCGCGAGAGGTTCGATGAACATTCACTGTGTTTGTGAATAACTGCTTGCTATCCCTGTGACCCCTGGCCACTAGGGGACCCCAGAGCGGTCCATGCTTAGATGTGGGCCCTGCCCCTCGCTGTCCCCTTCTGCCCCCCTAGAGAAGGACAATCCCTCCGGAGACCTAGTCCGAAGGAAAAACATGCAGACCCTTCGGTGTGCTATAAACATTTACTAATGGAACAAAATAGTTCTTACCCAATACCTATGTTGCTGACTTTAAAGCCCACGCCGCATCTGCAGAACACGGTCCACAGGCTTTTTCATCTAATGCTGGGACGTGGACCTCATTACTCCGGGACAGTGGGCTCCAAGAGGTGGCAGGTCTCCCAGAACTAGCCCAGGCCACCAGCCCAGCCCCCGTGGGCCTGTGTCCTCTGCTCACCAGGGGCGTTTGGCCTTCCTCCCCACAAGTTCAGTCTTCACTTGGCCGAGAAAAGGGGCTGAGGTTTCCAGACGGGAGGCTCTGTCCGAAGCGAGACCAAGGAGCCAGCAATGCAGCCATCTGCCATTACCTCCACATTCCCTCTGCACCCCAGTACCCCTGCATCTCCATGGCCCCCTTGGCGTGGCACTGCTGCTTCACCCCTGCCTCCCTTCTTCACCTGGCAAATCCCTACCTGCCCACCTGTCAGGACCCTGCTCAGATGGCACCATCTGGTGTGGAAGGCTTCCCCGAAGTCCTGGGCAGGCCCCTCTGCATCTCGGGCCCGAACACAGGGCCATGCCATGAAGAGGTCAGCATGTGTTTGTTGAATGAATGAAAGCCATGCTCTGATTCAACAAGCACCTTCCCCGTGCCGGGGCTGGGCCCAGGGCTGAAATAAATTGCCCTCTTACTAGACACATCAATCCCTGTTCCTACCGCATCCCCTTGCCCTGAGCTGAGCACACTTTACTGGATGAGGTATTCCAGGCGGGCTCCTTGGGGCGAGGCAGCCAAGCGGGATCTCAGGACGTGTGGGGAGGTGTCCCCCGTCCCTGCCCGCACCCTGGCCTCTCTGCGCCACCAGAACTCAGGGCTGAATTCCATTCATGGGGGCACGTCACAGGTGGAACTCTCTGACCCCTCTGCTGAGGCTGTGCTGGGGGTCCGGGCTGTGTATATAGAGGAGGGAGCACAAGACGAGGGGGAATGGCAGCTCTGGTTCCAGGTGCGGTCCTTGCTATGTCCTCACCTGTGAAATGGGTTTGTACCTGCCCCAGCTACTTCCTTGGGCTGCGCCTATTAATGAGGGGCGACAAGGGGGAAGCTACTTTGCCAAATCTTTTCAGTTGGCAGGGGCTGGGGTTACGGAGCTCCCCCTCTTTTTTTTTTTTTTTTAAATTGGCTACATGCTTAGCGTGGAGCCCAGTGCAGGTCTTGAACTCACGATCCTGAGATCAAGACCTGAGCCGAGATCAAGAGTCAGACACTTGAAGTGCCTGGGGGACTCAGTCAGTTAAGCGTCTGCCTCTGGCTCAGGTCGTGATCCCAGGATCCTGGGATCGAGTTCCACATGGGGCTCCCTGCTCAGTGGGAAGCCCCTCTTCCTGCTGCTTCCCCTGCTTGTGCTCTCTCTCTCAAATAAATAAATAAATAATCTTAAAAAAAAAAAAAAGTCAGACACTTAACTCCCTGAGCCCCCACGCGCCCTTCAGCACCCCGCTTCTCTCTGTCTACATCGACTAGGTGTCTCCTAGCAGCCCGCGGCCACAGATGCAAACTCTTTGCTGGTTGCGAGCAACACGTCAGCGGTTCTCTTTCCTCTCCTTTCGCCAGAACTTCCCAGACCTCTGGCTCACCTGTGCCGGCTGCGCGTGAGAAAGGCCGTGGGGAAGCACCGCATCAAGCTCCTGGACGCCCTGCCGCTCCCAGGCAGGCTGATCAGGTACTTGAAGTACGAGAGCACCCAGTAACCAAGGCTGCAAGGAGGAGCGGCTCCTCAGACTGTTTCATTAAAGCCTCAGGATGGAGGCGGCGGCCCCAAGCCCCAGGGGAGGGGAGCTGGTGGTAGACGGAGGCTGTGGGCTGCCGGCCGCTCAGCTGGGGCAGCTGCTGCCAGGTCCTCGCCAGGTCTCTGGGCCCGAGCTTTGCCCAGACCAGAGAACAGAATGTGTCAAGTAGAAGAAAAACCGTGTTTGTTTTCAAACTGCTGAGTAGACCCCGGACCTTCTCTGCCATTGGGAATGGTGGGGCCTCCATCCCTGGGCCCGGGAGGGGCGTGCAGGGCAGAACTTGGGGTGGCCTGGGAGAAGGTGGGAGCCAGCAGGGAAGCCCCGGCCCCAACACTGGGCTGTGGCTGGAGCGCTTTCAGGGATGAGTTTGCCTTTCCAAGACGACCTCCCCGCGGGGCTGTCCCCGTCCCCTCCCACTTTGCTCCGCAAAACTCTCCACTTGACTTCTGAGCTTTCTTCTTGGAGCTGTGGTCTGGTGGGGGTGGCTGGGAGGCCCACCTCAAGTACAATAAATGTTGCAGAGATGACACCTTGCCCAGCGAAGTCCCTCTTCCCCCCCCCCCCGGCCCCCAGGGCCTAGGGTCCTCAGCACTGCTCCTGGAGGGAGTGGGAGTGGGGCACGTGCTGAGACAGGGCGCACAGACCCCTAGATGTGTCCCCTTTGGTCTTCTGAAAGCCAGAGTGGAGCTGGCGGCGCAAGGAGAGGGGCGGCTTCCTGCCCTGCGAGCAGAGCGGTCTGGGTTGGTTTCTCTCTCCTGCTTCAATCACCACGGAAACGGGAGCTCCATCACAAACAGGGCTCGGTGTCTACAAGTCTCCTGACACCTGGGATTGCCTTGCACACACATGTTTCCTGGCACTCTGTCTTCACATCCTGCCCACCCCTATTTTGCTACAGAAGTTGAGATACTAGGGAGGAGAAGAAATCTAAATGCTGGCCATCTGAGCCACGGCGCTAAGGCGGTGGCTGCCGTCAACCCCTGCAAAGGCACCAAACTGGGGCCACGAGGCCCTGTTCCCTCCACTGTCTCCGTGGGTCCTTGTGTGGCTCTGTGGGGCGTGCCAGGCATTTTCCGGACCTGCCAGCCCATGTTCAGGCGGGCGTGATAATAGCACCTTCTTGGGTGCTGAGGCCAGCTTGCCCTGTTTCCACGATGCTGCAGTGGAAAGCATGATGAAAGCCACGGGAGTCCAGGCCAGTCTGCGGTGACACCTGACGGAGCAGGTGACCTTGCCTGGAGCCAGCACCCACCCTGCCCCAGAATCCGGAAGTGTGTTAAGTGCGGTCAAATGTCATTTCTGGGTTTGGCAAAATGAGCAGCTACGCGGTGGGGGAGCACAGCTTTGAGGTCCAGCTCTGCCCTCGGCTTGCTCCTCTGGGGCCTCAAATTCCCCATCATTGTGGTTCCCGGCGTCCTTGCCGACTCCTCCATACTGGCTCTCCGTGGAACCTCAAGACCCAGTGTCTTCCTGAAGAGGAAAAGTCTGCCAAGCAGCACTTTCCAGCCACAGGTCAGAGGGGACTCAGCCGCATCTGGCACACTCCTTCGTGGTCCTGATGGGAAAACAGGCCCAAAGAGGGGAGGGGACTTGCCCGGGCACACCTAGCAAATCCCTGAGGTTTTAACCCAACAGTGCCTGGCCAGGGTCCCCTGTGGCCTTGCTGCAAGAGATCCTAAAGAAATCCCCACGGAAACCGGCATCCTCTCACACTGGAGATGTTCTGCCGACGGGCCCCCGGGGGAAGTGGCCAGAGAGGGCTCAGTGCAGAGTCAGGGGAAAACCCTGACCGAAAATTGCCTTTGCCCATCTGGCAGCCAGAGGGAGAGCCTTTAATCTCGGATGGGGGGTCGGCAGCCCTCCGTGATGAGCCAGAGCAGAAAGATGTTTGGGTGCATTTAGGATGGGGCTGGGCCTCTGGCAAACTATAGCGTTTCTCAGGTCCCCTGTACATCCTAAGGAGTCCTAACAGGCAGTGGCCGCGGACACTGGGCTGGGTGGGGACTCCGGTCTGCGGGAGGTGCACCCCTGGAGGAGGGGAGGCTGGGAAGGTAGGTGGGAGGGGTGGGGCAGGAGGGTTCAGCCTGTGCAGTCAACATTGGCACCACCGACTGTAGGATGTGGGGTACCTCTGGGGTACCTGTAGGATGTGGGGTACCTGGGGCTGGGATGCATCAGCACCGCACTGCATTCTTAGAGGACTGATCTCATCCATACTGGGCCACAGGCACTGGTCAGGGCCCCTCCTCCCCAAGCGGCTTTCCCAACCTTGGCCTTCTCAGGTCCTGGCAGCCCCCACCTCCCCACAACCCAGAAGCTGAAGGGTTAACGCTTGGCCAGCGATGGGGGGGGAGGGTGCCGCGCAGCGCTGTTCCCAAGGGTCTGTTCTGATGGGTCAGTGCTCAGGCTGGGCTGGTGGTTCCATTTCTTGACCACCACTGCTCCCCAGAGGACTTTAGAGCCAAGACCCTCTGCAGAAACCCCCTCCCCCACCCCCAAACTTTGGCCCCAGAGGTGTCTCAACAGCGTCACCAAACACTTAAAATCCTGAAAGTGGTTCCATTTCATTTCACAGGCAAGAGCACGTGCGAGCTAGTGCTGGGGATCTGAGGTAGGGGGTGAGCTCCCATGTTCCCCTTTGAGCCAGCCCCACTCACGACTCACTTGTCGGTCAGGAGAGTCATCTGCTATTACGGCAGCTGCTTTTTTTTTTTTTTTTTTTTAACCAGAGCTTTCCTAGATGTGTTTTTCCCCACCTTGTTTCTGCATAGGGAGTCGGTGCGGTGTGCTTCTGTCTAGCTGCTCCCTAGCAAAGGTTTCTGCTTGCAGAGGAAGCCTCCCTGCATTTGAATTCATGTATCACTAGGTGTCCCCTGCGAAAGGAGCCCAAGAGGAGCTGCAGGGTGGGGGGGTGGGGGGGGTGGGCAGAGCATGGTGCGCTGGCGCAGCACTCTGAGAAAACACGCCCCCCACCCGCCCGGAGCCCGGCTCCTCCAGGGAGTACAGTCAGGTGGCCCAGGTAACCAGGAGAGGCAACTTTTGATTGGCAAGGCTCTCCCTTTGGGCGTGTCATAGCACCTTCTATGCCAGGTGCGCTCTTCATCATCCCCACGACAACCTGTGAAAGTCTATTTTCAACCACATTTTTCTGATGAGGACATTTTGGCACAGAGAATTAAGTAACTTGCCCAAGGTCACACAGCTGGTAGGTGGCAAAGCCTGGATTGGAGCTTTTAACACCCTCCTGTACAGTGGAGGAGGGGCTGAGCCTCATTGGAGTTGATTTGGAAGGGTCTTCCTGAGTGCAGGGGGAGAGAAGGGGACATAGAGGGCAGACCAGAGCAGCCTGGGGTGAGGGTCCTGAGGCCCTATCCTGGGTGCTACATAATTACTCTGAACAACCCTGCTGGTGTCGCATGGTTTCCGTGGCTCTCAAGTCTTGCAAGACCAGAAGCCTTAAACTACCAGAAATCCACCGGCTTCCCAGTGAGCAAGCTGCCCTCCCATGGAGATGCTCCACCCTACGGGAATCCTAGAGTAAAAACAGGCAGGAAGGAGAAGGACCCTTAATCACCAATCCTGGAGCCTTGGGTTAAGAAGGATTCTGAGGCCATATCTGGCCCCTGAAGGAGACAGTCTGTGACTAGTTGAAGAACTGGTAGGTGCAACTGTTTGCTATTGCTGGCCTAGTCCCCCACTTTACAGAGGGGGAAACCAAGGCGCAGAGGGAGATTAACTTTCCAACATTGTGCTAATTAAGGTACAGTAGCCCCCAGCCAGGGCTGGCCCTGTATCAGTCCCAGCTGTGAGAACAGGGCTTTGATGGAATGAGCAGCTCGATGCAAGTCCGTGCGCTCTCAGCCTTGGAGCCACGTCTGCACGTAGCAGGGCAAATCCCGCACCAGGATGGAGGTGCATGCCTCTCCAATGGCTGTGCCAGTTGGACACCATGAGAGCAAAACCCAGGGCCAATCCCTGCCACCAGCACTCCCTCACCCCCATGCATTGTCACAGACAGAGGCCCTCATCGTTCCATTGATGGGGCCCCTGATGTGTGCCAGGCACTGCACCAGGCCTGGGAAGAGGGCCATCGGCAGGTCACCCAGGAATCTGACTTCACTAGAGATTTTTTTTTTTTCCGGCTTGTCCACAAGGAGCCAAGCTTCAGTTTGTCCTGATTTTCCCTCTGACCAGGCTCGGGCAGGACTGCCTTGGCCCAGCCTCTGCTCTGAGGCCATAATCAGAGTGGAAGGCACAGCAGAGGGGGACTATTCTTGCCCTGCCCCTCGCCCTGCAGGTGGCGCAAGGAGGCCCCAGGAGGAAGGGTCCAGCCCCACATCCCATCGCGGAGCCAGGACTGGTACTCCCCTGGTACTGGCTTCCCTGTTCTCTAGAGCACTTCGGATCATCTGGAGATCCAGCCTCCCCCATCCTCTGCTCTTGGACACAGGCAAGCAGAGCATCCTTCCCCGGTGACTCCTCCCACCCCCCCCTTCCTTTGAATTGAGCTGCTGGCCCGCAATTCTTAGCTTGGGGACCATTCAACTCCATGACATCCCGGATGTGGAAACTGCAAAAGAAACGTCTTTATTCTTTTAACCTTCTTAATATTTACAAAAAACAAAAAGAACAGAACTGAGATTGGCTTACACAGTGGGTGGCAGATGAACAGATGTGTAACTCTGGCTTCTGGAGGGGCAGGCAGGCCAGGGCAAAGCCCCACCACCCAAGACCGGCCCAAAGACAGTGGGACAATCGGTCTCGGGCTCTGGTCTGGTTGGAGAGGGGCCAACGGAGCCCAGCCCCATAGCTCCCAAGGCTGCAGGGGCTGACTTGGCAACTGCCTGAGAAGCCCCTGCCCCAAACCCGTCCTCCCCCTCCCAGACACACACAAAGGAAAGGCTCCCAAGTGGCCACACCACTGCCCAGCTCACTCTGCACAAGGAGCGCTCCCAGGGGCCCCAAACACCCCTGCAGGCCAGAGGTGGGAGCCGAGGCCCTCCCAGCCCAGCTAGAGGTAGCCAAAAACATTGAAGATGGGCGGGGGCACAGCCGGCTTGGTAGGGATGGGCTTCAGAACCACGGGTCTGTACACTTTCTGCCCCGGCCCGTCCACATCCTTGCAGAAGTGGGCCAGCTCCCCAGGGGAAGCCGGGCTTTTCCTCCACAGGCCCAGGCTGGGGACAGGGCTCTGAGGCAAGACCCCTGGATGACCAGCATAGATGGGCTGTCCATGGTACTGGAAGGGGCAGCAGCTCCAGGCATTGACGCGGCCCACCAGGGAGACCCCAGACATCTTGAGTGGCTCCTTTTCAGCCAGTGCCCTTGGAGACGCGGGCACGGGGGCCGTCTCAGGATCCAAGGGCTCCAAGCCTTTGCAATGTTTCTTACCCTCATAGGGAGGTCCCTCCCTGGGGCCCAGTCCCCCCTCCAGCCCTAGGGGGTAGCTGTGTGTGGGCCGAGGTTCTTCCCAGAAGGAAGCGGGCAGCTGTCTTTTCCTCATGGGCACCTGGCCAGGCCTGGCA